TGGCGCTCGTATGTGGCGCCTGCAGCGATTCCGGCGCTGGCGAGTCCGACAGCGAGTGTGGCGGCGGCGAGGGCGGTGGGGGCGAGCGCGGCGGTGGCGAGGTCGGCGGTGGCGAGGGCGACAGCGAGGGTGGCAGCGGCGACGACGGTGGGGGCGAGGGCGGCGGCGGCGAGGGCGGTGGGGGCGAGGGCGGCGGCTGGGAGGGCGGCGGTGGCGAGGGCGACAGCGAGGGCGGTGGGGACGGCGGCGGCTGAGGCGGCAGCGGCGGCGACGACGGTGGCGAAGAGGGTGGCGGAGTCGGCGGTGTCGGGGGGTTGGGCGGCAGCGGCGGCGGCGGGTTTGGCAACGACATTTACTGTGTCAGCGGGGGGGACGCCCAGCTTTGTCCAGCCACAAAATCGCGATTTTTTTACATTCACAGGCACAGACAGTCGAGATTCTACCTACCTACCTAGTCGAGAAGGGAGAGACAGCAACGACAGCCAGAAGCCAGCGCTGGGTACCAGGAAGGCGAATGCGATGACGGCCTCTAGTGTGAGCTCTAGCTAGTGAGCTCATACGCACGCCGGCAGATCGCGACTATAGACAGCGAGTTGTTAGGAGCCGACCGACCCTCGCGTCCGGTGCTCATCGGCCGGGCGGGCCACCGACAGGCTCGCAGCGCGGTGCACGGTGGACTCCCAACTCCACTGGCGGTCTCATCTCAGTCTAGCGACCTGCCTCCAGCTTCTCACTGACTGGCAGTCTCTCGCAACCACAGGCACACTGACACAGGGGTGGCAGGGGCGGCGGCAGGAGTCTCCCACATACTATGCGGGCCTCGCTAGAGGTGCGTCCTGTGTGTGTCCTCGCCCTTGAGGGTCTTGAGGGGGAAGGGGAAGGGGCTGTTTGTCTGTGCATGCATGCATGCATGTGTGTGTGTGTGTGTGCGCGCGCTAACCCAACGCCCTCGCACGACACTGGGCACGGGACTGGCGCGCACTGGCACTAACACGACAAGTTAGAGTTGTTTGGTATTGCTAAAAATCTCTCTCTCTAACACGCGCGAGGAAAAGAAAATGAAAGCGCGACCTCGCGAGAAGAAGAAATTCCGGCCGCAACAAAGAACGGCACCGTTGAAGTTTTCTTTTATATTTTCTTTTGTTCGAGGGGCAGAATTTTGGCACATAGAATTTCCGTTGCAACAAAAGAAACCGGTTCCGAGTCGCTCCCCGGGGGCTTGTTCGCGCTCGATGCGGGCGACGCGCTTGAACCTGATGGATTTTTGAAAACCAACAAGTTCTTTCTTCTTTCTTGTACCTGTGTTAGAGAGAGAGAAATTTTTGAAAACCAACAAGAAATCACGACTCTCACAGTGATTTGGGCTCGGCAGCTTGTCAGCCCCAGCCGAAACTGGGGCCGGTCCCGTTGGTAGAGCCCGCGCCGTTAATCAGCTGGACCGAATTTTACCAAGTTGGACGTATCCAGTGTTCACTGTCTACGTGTAGCGACGGGCGCTGCGCGATAGCTGCTTTGTGGGTCCCGTGAGCCAAGTCAGCGTCGGGCTGCGCAGCCGGTCGCCATATGTTCGCTCGCCGTGGTCACAAGCCATCGAGGAAGCCACCACACCAGGGCCACAATCGCGTTGCGGACCAGGTTTGTGACCCTGGCGGTGGCGAGCCTTTGGCGCACAGCGTGAGCATGCCAGCACGGCTCGCATCAGGGCTGCACCCGTCGCCGAGCACCTCGTGCACTCCACACGGATCGGGTGATGCCACGAGCCCGCTGCGCGGCTGCACCGAGTGGCTCTCTGTGGCAGGGAGTGCACTTTTATGCCACATGTTGGCGTTGCCTCGCAGCATGCCGAGTGGGCCTTCTGTCTCTGAGGAAGAACCGAAATGCGAATTCGCGCCCTGCCGATCTCCGAGTGGTCAGCCGGAGAGGTCTGTGGACACGTGTGTAGTCGAGGCAGCCGCGGTCGGCGCGTCTCTGGCATCTGCGTGGTGAGCACCCTGGCGGTATGCGTGCGCAGCAGCCTCAACGCAGGGCCAGTTGACGTGTCCGGTCGGAGGTGGAGCGCTACCAACGGTTCGAATGGGTCCTCGCGGGTCGGATTCCGTCTACGCGCACGCGTCGGGCACCCGCTCAGCAGCACCGAGGGGTATCTGTCGCGTCACAGCCATCGTGTGCTGCAGCCTCCGGCAAACCAGTGCCGGCAACTGGCCACCATCGACACACGGAGAACCGCTCGCACGAGTCAGCCCAGAGGCGATCGATGGGCGGGAGAGGCCTCTGGTACGGACATACAGCTCGGGCCCGACGGACGGCGCGAGGGGGCGATCTCGCGCGGGTCCAACTTTGGCCTGTGGAGGCGTGAAGTCTGAAGAGGGGAAGGAAAAGCCGCCCTGTTTTTCTTTATTACATGTCTCATAGCGTCTATATCCTTTTTCTGGAGTTTGGTTTGGAGTTTCGTTTCTCTATGTGTTCTAAAGGCGCGGCGCCAAACTCCAAACCAAACTCCAAAAATAGATATAAAGGTAAGCTTGCGTCAGAGAATCTCGCGAGGATCTGGCGCCTCAATTGAGCGAACCCACGCCGAGCGACGCTCCCGGCGTGCGGATCTTGCTTGACAGGTGCCTCGCTGCGTGCGCCGCTGCGCCTGCGCTCGGCCCTCGCTGCCTGCGCCTGTCTGTCAGCCTGGACACGCTCACGGCGCTCGCGGCGCAGTCACTGCGGCTGGTAGCAGCCGCAGTCTGAGCGGGCGGCATGCTGCGGCTCCACACTGACACTGCAGTCTCTAGGCAGAGAGGAGCCAGTACTCCTCTGTTCAACGCATAGGCGATCGCAACTCGACCCCTGCCACCGCGCTGGCGCGTGCTGCCGCTCGTGTCTGCGCGACAGTTCCGATGAAACCGTGCTCCCCTCCCGTGACGGCCCGAGCCTCAACTCCAGGCTCAGCTGAGAGATACACTGCTACTGGTGGCTGAGCGTCGGAGGTGCCCTCTCAGCTATGTGTCTTGGTCCGTGAGGACAGTCTGCCAGCTCCCCTGGTCATGCGCTAGCCGTCTCGGCCGATCGGTCCCCGGCGGCCGTATTTGTGTGTTGCTGCTGCGGCCTCGCAGTAGCCTTGCCGGGCTGCCCCCAGCGAAAGATAACTTCAACAATCACTTCAACACTGGCGATACGGCAGCCGCTACACGCGCATAGGTCATACGCAACACGTGGGCAGCCTCCCCCCCCGTGAAAAGTCCATGAGTCGCCGTCAGGCCGTCGGACTGGGCGCCACTGGCGGTGCAGCAGTGATTCCCGCAAGTCGCCTTGGTGCTCGCGATCGCCCTCGCCGCCCCTCACTTCGCCCCCGGGCCAAGCCTCCGGTGCCGTGTCTACCCCACAGCCCCCGATTTGGACGCCCGAGGCTCGGCTGTGTCCGGCTGTGCATGAAAAACGAGAAAACAGGCCTTTTTGGGAAAGCCGACTTTGCCCCTTAAGTTCGACGCGGTCGGGGGGCCTTGCGGAGAGGCCAGCGAGATGGCGATCGCTGTACTTCATGGTGCCCTCGGTGGGGCGGCTGACAAGCCAGAGGTCGATACTCTGGACGACCCATAGGATGCCACGAATGCCTGGACGCTGGAGGAGAGGGAGGCGAGGCCAGAGGCAGACTCAGCTGCTCTCGGGTGATCTCGCTTTGGTGGCCGAAGGACCCGATGGTCCTGTCACATTCGCGTTCCGAGTCGTGGGGGTAGAAGATTGCGGGGGGCATCGAGTCAGCAGCTCAGCACATCCTTGTAGTACAGCGGACCGCCAGGCTCGCCGGCAGCATCCGCAGGGAGGCAGCATATCAGGCACCAGTCTTCTGGAGAGCTCAACAGCTATTCTTACAATCCCGAATGGTTAACGGTATTTTTGTTGTGCTTCGCGTTTTCGCGTCTTGAGGGCGTTTTCCGCGCGGATCGATTCGGTGTAGCGGCGCTGCGGTTCCGCGCGATGTTTAATGCGTTATTTCAGCGCCGAGTTTGCACGCTCGGGTCCGTTCGCCCGTTGGAAAACCACCTTCAGGTCGCGGTTGACCATAAAAGATATTTTTGGGTCACAAGGGGCTAGCTATTCAAGACCACCCTAGGACTCCCGGGGCACTCTGTGCCTGACTCGGACGGGACTCGGAGGCATCGATATCATCCGGAGCGAACCACAGCGCGTCGGGCGGCTCGCGCCAACCTAAGGGGTTGTAGCGCCGGAAAGGCGCGCGCGCGCCCGCGTCGTTGATCGCGGCCATCTCGGCGTCGGTAAGCGTGAAGTCGAGCGCGCCGAAGGACTGCCGCACGCGCTCGGGGTTGGACGAGGTCGTCACCGGCATGCACGCCCGCTGGATGAGCCACCGCAGCAGCACCTGCGTCGTCGACCGGCCGTGTGCGGCGGCGGCTACAGGCCACAGAGACACGACACGCGCGCTGCCCGCCGCCGCGCCGCCGCCGCCGCCCTCAGCCGCAGCGCGCTGCGGCCAGAGCGGGCCGAAGCACGCTAGGCGCACGCCGCGCGCGGCGCACGCGTCGCGCAGCGCGGTCTGAGCGCACTGCGGGTGGCACTCCACCTGGTTGATTGTCGGTCGCACGGCGGGGTCCGAACCGAGTATCTCGTCGAGCTCGGCGACACCGCAATTGCTCACGCCGAGCGCGCGCACGCGCCCGGCGGCGACGAGGCGCTCCATCGCACGCCATGTCGCGACGAGCGGCACGTCGGCGCGCGGCGTGACGCCGCGCGCCTTGTCCGCTGGGTCGCTATCGCGCGTCCATGCGACGGGCCAGTGGATGAGCAGCATGTCTAAGTACTCAAGGCCAAGCGCAGCGAGCGACGCGTTGACGCTCTCGGCGACGCCCGCGTCGTCGTGGTGCGTCATCCACAGCTTGGAAGTGAGGAAGAGCTCACGGCGCGGCACGAGCCCCTCCGCGAGCACGCGCCCCGCGATCGCCTCGGTGCCATAGAAGCGCGCGCAGTCGATGTGGCGGAAGCCTGCGTGCAGCGCCGCGCGCAGCGCGTTGGCGGTCACGTCGTCCGAGACGTGGCGGTGCCGCGTGCCGAGGCCGAAGGCAAGGGCGGGCACCGGCGCGCCGCTCACCGTGCGCAGCGGCGACGGCCACGATTCAAGGGCCACGGAGGACGGGGCTCGCTCGGCCATAAATGAGCCTGTGCGACCCAGAGCCAGAGGCGGTGCCAATGGCGCTCACAGCGAGACCCGCGAATCTGGTCACCCAGTCCGTGTCGTCGCTGGTTGCCCGCTTGAGAACAAGCCGCCTGAGGTGGCAGGGAGGGCGGGGTGAGTACTCGCAGCTGGGGTGGTTTTGGCCTCAAGTTGTGGATGGGGGCGGGCGGGCGTCACCTTCTGGCGTGCTCGAGGAGGTTGTACAGCGGCTCCGCTGCCGGCACCGGCTCAAATTCGTCCGCAACCCTCCCCCCGACGCCCCTCCTATGCGGCGGCGCGGGAGGTTGGAAAGGGGCAAGGGACTGCCCCCCCCACCGGCACCGCACCCGCACGAACCCGCACCCGCACGCCACCAGCCCACAACCCAACGTTGAAACACCCCACGCCCAAGCAAGCTAACTCAGGCTGGCTCTGGCGTTGGTGGGTCTGGGCAGCTCGCCGGCAGCGGAGCCGCTCTATCCGTCCGAGCCGCCCGAGGTGCACAGCGCGCGAGAGGGAGAGTGCGCGCGCGGGGGGGGGGGGGGGGGGGAAACCAGCTTTAAAGAGAGAGAAAGAGAGAGAGAGAGAGAGAGAGAGAGAGAGAGAGAGAGAAAGAGAGGGGGAAAGAGAGAGAAAACGCTTGGGCCCCAAGGGACAAGGGCCCCCCCAAAAGGTCAAGGCGGCCTTAGGCCTGGGGCGCGGCACCACCAGTCCACGCCGCCCGACTGTCACACCATCTCTTGAGCCCGCAAACCGATCCCAATCGTCTCACGTCTGCGGGGTCCTGTGGCTAAGGCTGGGGCGCTTCTTACAATCTTAGCTCCCCTTTGCTCCCCCGCAACATACGTACCTCATAGGCGTCGGTCCTCGCCGCGTCACGGACACGAAACTGCTGAATACTTCACGGCACAGGCGCACAACGAAACGCGACAACGCCCGCAGTCGCCGAGAACAATCTGAGAGATGGTCGCTGAACACACACAAGCTGACTGAAGGCCTAGGTAGCGCTTGGACACACCGGAGAGTGTGCGACGGCAGAACACGGAGCTGCACGGAGCTCAGAGGTCCAGAGAGTTCAGGGTTCGCTCCCCATCACGCTGCGGCGCGGCAGCGGCGAGGACTGGCTCGCGGGCGCCGGCACCGACTCGAATCGGCACGAGATCTGGTGCCAGGCGCTGTCGCTCCACCCGCTGTCGTAGCACGCCTCGCTGCCAACGTGGCAGCGGTCGGAGTCGCAGTAGGAGAGGATGCGCGGCGAATCATCCGATGCCTGGGGGAGCCAAGCCTCGGCTCAGCCTTGGAGAGGATGCGCGGTCTCGGCGCAGCCCTGGTTCAACCTCGGCTCAACTCTCGGCTCAACTCTCGGCGCCATCTCGTCTCAATCCCGGCGGGGAGGGCGGCGCCTCCACCACCGCCGAAAAGTCGACCAGAGGCACGAGCGCACGCGTCGACCTCGGCACGCGCTCGAGGGAGTCGCGCACCTCTGCCTCACCGACGTACCGCCCCGTCTCCTCCCCTCGCCGCCTGTGAGCAAAGGGAGGCGCCTCCTCCTACACCTCGGCTAGGTCTCGGCTAGGTCTCTGCTAGGTCTCTGCTAGATCTCTGCTAGGTCTCTGCTAGAGCTCGGCTAGGTCTCGGCCAGGTCTCGGCCGGCCAGGTCGCGGCTAGGTCTCGGCATAGCTCTCGGCATAGCTCTCTGCTAGCTCTCGCCTCACGCGCGCAAAGATCTGCTCCTCGCTCGCCGTGACGTGCAGGATTGCGAGGCGGTACGCCGGGTGGTCGCGCCTAGGAGATCGGACGGGAGGTTCGGAGAAGGTTCGCGGTTCCGGAGACGCGGTATACGCCGGCGGCGTGAGAGCGCCGGATGCTTCCGAACACAGCTCGGTACCAGTTGAGGTCGCGCAGCGAGCCGTCGACCCAGATGTGCCTACGGACGTGCCCTGGACGTGTCGCGGACGCGCCCATGGACGTGTCCTCGCGCCGACCACCCGCAGACACACGCCTCCTCTCCGCCATGGCGGCAGCCTGCGCGATCTCGACGAGGTAGCCGCTCTCGCGCTGCGTCCGCTGGCCGGCGCTCATCGGGTCGAGCGCGACGTAGCCGTCCCACTCGGGCATCGCCGTCTTGAAGAGGTCTGGGTCGAGGTGGACGATCGCCTCCAGCGGGAAGTGCCCCGCCTCCCACATCCAGCGCACAGTGTGGCTCTTGCCCGCGCCCATCGCGCCCGCGGTGTACAGCAGCCAAGGGTGCGCCTGCGGGAGTGCGGGCCGTGTCCTGGACGCGTCTATAGGCGGTGCCTAGGGACGGCTGCCTAGGCAGTGGTGGGCAGTGCCTCGGGAGGAGGCAGGCGGTGTCTAGGAACTGTCCAGGCAGGCAGTGTCTAGGAAGTGTCCGGGGAGTGGCATGGAGGTGTCTCTAGGCTGCGCCTGCGGCTCGCTGCCCTCGAGCGCCGCGTCGACCAGCCGGTCCTGCAGCGCCTGCCGCTCCGCCGTGTACACGCCGTGGTACGCGTGGTCGAGCGACTCGCGGATCTTCGCGTACTTGCCTCGCTGGCACGCACCAGCGGACGCATCGCGATACGCGTCGCACGTGCACGCGGTGTAGTCGAAGTCCGTGGACAGCGCAAAGGCGGCGTGCGCCTCCCGCCGCCGCACCAGCGGCAGCGCGGACGCCATCGCTGGAGGCATGCCCTCCGAGCGCGCCCGAGCCCGTCCCGGCGCTCTGTCGGACTGAGAGACAGAGCGCGTCATGAAGGCTGTCTGGGCGCGGCTGAATGGCCGCGGAGGCGCGTCCGGCGACGGCATGGCGATACGCACAGAGGCCGTGGAGACTTTTGACGAAAGCCACGACAGCAGGGGATGTGGCTCCAGGGGATGCGGGGGCTCGAAGCGAGTTCGGCGATATGCGGTCCTCAAGGAAAGAATTCTGAGTATTTGTTCGATTTGAAAGCTAATTTCGTAGGTACATTGTCGGCCTTGCGTTGATTTCTCTTTCTTTCGTAAAAAGAACCGGTCCGCGAGTGCTCCGCAGCAACCTCGCTGAGCCAGAACGTCGGCTCGCGAGGTGGGGTGCTAGTCTGGGACCCATACGTGGCAGTTCCCTTGCTCCAAGCGCTTGTGCTTCTTCACCCTCATATGTTCGTAAGAGCCACATACACTGAAAAAGCTGCTCGCTGCGAGGTCTCGCGACGTTTGGCCGCAGATAGTGTTGACGCAGCAACACGAAATGTTGGCGAAAGGGGACTCTTAGCCGCCATCGTCCAGTCCGAGCCTGGCTGTTCTTCACCTTTCTACCTACCTACCTACCTACCTACCGCCCAAAATGGCCGAGCCGCGTGCTCGCCTCCTCTCCCTCGCGACGCTTCACGAGCCGCATCCGTTTGGCCAGCACGCTTCCATCTGCCCACCGAATCGCGCCGCGCTCCTTCTGTGGAGCGCGCAGGCCGTTCCGCTCGCCTCCGCCATCAGCAAGACTGCCAGGCGACCGGTGGACATCCGCCTCTTCACGCGCTGCCTCGAGGAGAGCGATGGGGCGCATCTCTCCTCCGAGGGCGTCGCGGTGGTCGTGCACAACACCTACCGCCCGGCACTGGTCCAAGCGGTGAGTCACCTGCCGCAGAGAAGGGGGTGGAGAGAGCCCGAGAGAACGCTACGAAAGCGCACGTCGGCCGCTACGGCAGGTGAAGGCGCTGGCCGCGGCGCGATTGCAGCCGGAGGAGGGAGGCGGGCTGAAGTTTGGGCAAGCATGGTACTGGACCACGCTGCTCAAGTGGCAGATCATGGCGCTGACGGGCGCCGAGGCGCCTCTCCGAGGACACTGGACACCGTACTATGACACACGGAGACCAAAGGGCCCGAGTTCAAAGGGCGCCGCCCTCGCCTCTCACAGTTCGTGGCCTTCTTCGACATTGACACGGAGGTGCTGCCCGCCACGTCCCCCGGAAGCTTGTTGGAGAGGGCGGCGCGCGGCGCGGCGGAGTGGACGGCTGCACTCGGCTGTCTCCGGCGCCGCAAAGAGGTGCTCTTCAGCAGAACAGACGGGTCAGCGCCGGTCAACGGGGGATTGTTGCTGGTGAGCGCCCCTCTAAGCCCTCTCCCCTCACCGCGCACAGATCCCGTCCGCATGGCTCGCCCCAACGAGCAACATTATCTAGGTGAAGCCCTCCCTCGCGCTTTTTGAAGATGGCATCGCGCTCTTGCAACGCACCGCCGACGTGGGCTGGAACCATACGCACGGCTGGGATCTGGCTGGTCTCCCTCGCGACGTCGTGCCCGCCACCGACGACGCCTGGAAATCGCGCGGAGTCAGCGCCGTTCCCAGACACCTCGCGCGTCCCGGACGCCCTTCTGTCCGCGCCCGCTAGGCGCACCGAGCGCGTGGGCATCCTGCCGTTCCTCAAGCAGGACGACTGGGGTGTCATGGTCGGCGTGGGCATCGACCAGGGCTTCTTCTACTACTTTTTCCGGGCGCGCCGTGACCACACAGAGACGGGGCAGTGGACTCGCCTCGCCGCTCCGCATCACTACTCCGATGCAATCCCGCCTGGTAGGTGCGGCACCAGCTCGGCGCAGAGCTGAGCCGGGTTCAGTGCGTCCGCTCCGCCCACTGCAGCGCCGTCTCGCCGAGAGACTCCCCGGCCAGCTACAGGCGCTGTCAGCGAGCGTACAACGTTTGGCACTACGCAGGGGGGTGTAAGCCCTACGAATGCATCCAAAGAGGCAAAGCGTGCGCAAGCCAAGACAAGAGGGGCGGTGGCCGCGCGCGCCTTCCCCGGAGGCTAGCCAAGCTAGACGAGGCGGGCACCTTCGCGAGGACGGCTAGGCAGGGCTGGTTGAAGCAGGTAAAGGAGGCGCGCATCACCGCAGCCACCGTCTCGTGGTCGCTGCGCGCCTCGGCCGCCATCGCCAGTCTGGTCGGCAAGCTTCCCCTAGAGGCTTCGTTGCGGCTACGGGCGGAGAGCAGCGCCGCATTCCTGGCCGTTGGGCTGCGCTGCTTCGCGCAAAGCTTTGCACGCTACACCCTTCGCCATTTCACCGAGCGCGAGGTGGTGCCCAATGCCTCGGTGCGGCAGGTGCTGCTCCACGCGGCCCCGGAGGCGGAGGCGGCGCTCGACTTGCTGCAAGACGCGGAGCACTCCCTCGCCGTCCTTGGTCGACAGGCGGCCGAGGCACAGGGCGGCGGACGGAACGAGAGCGAGGGGGCTGTGAGGCAGCTATGGAGGCGTCTCCTCACCTCGCCCACGACCGCACCAGCCATCTCGCTACCCCTCTTTGCGGCCCCAGGGCACCCAGGCTTTCCTGCGTTTTGCATCTGTCACAACGCAAGGCGGCGAGAACGGGCGGCGGCCCGCAGAGCCCAGAGCGGGTAGACGTTGGGAGAGATGAGGCTCGTGACAGTGTAGAACTCTACACGGTCTACGGCTCACACTTGTAAGTAGTAGAACTCAACGAAAGAGAGAGGTCCAAAACAAGACGCGCGATCTCTCTAAAGCTGTTAACAATGCAATGCTCCATCCTTGTCCTCAAGCGTCACTCACCACATGCACATGCACATGCGGGCGCCACACCTTCTTGATGTCCACCGCACTGGCGCTCTGCCGCGCCTCGCGGTCGCCCGACGGTCGGCGTCAGTCTGTCCGAGTCTCGCCAGACTCTGTGTCGTTGGCTAGCCTCCTCATTCAGGTGTGGCGGCGGCCGAGCCGGTTGTAGCGTGTGGTGCCTAGCGTGTAATCAAAAGAGATGAGGGTTACTGGAGCGGAGGACTCGCTCTCCAGGTTGTGTTGACGTCAGGCAGTGTCCCCTTTCGGCATCTATGGCGCGTTGCGTGGCGCGTCGCGGCGGGCGACCGGGCGGGAGGGAGGCGCGAGTGGCGGCCGGGCGCGCTTGCGGTTGGGGCCACCGACGCCAGGCAAGGGGCAGACGAGAGGCGTACGGCCTACGCAAGCGACGGGTCGTCCTTTCTCCTTGCTAGTTTGACTGGGCGTGGGTTGGCGGCGGCGGCGAGTCGGCGCGACCTTGGGCGGCGAGGAGGCCCTCCGCGATGTCCGGGAAGGAGAGGGAGAGCGGGAGGGCGCCGTACAGGACCTGCGCACGGGGCGCTGGCAGGGCTTGGGGCCCGCGGAGGGAAGGGGTGGGGAGAGGGCCAGGGAGGAGGGGCGGCAGCGCACCCCCTTGACTGTGTGGGCAAACGCGGCGGCCTGCGCCTGGCGAGCCTCAGCCTCCGCCTACACGTGGGCAAGGGCATCACAACACACTTGCAGTGGGACCCTCTTCTGTGTCTGAGTGTGTGCATGCCGCTTGTTCCATCTCGGCCGCGACCACACAGCCGCACACGCCAAACTGGCGCGAGACGTCGCACTTCGTCGAGTACGGGAAACCTCCGCAGAGCTGACAGCCGGCGGCGGCCGGCACCCACTCCTGCTCTGCCTCAAAGGAGAGGCACTCGGCTAGCAGATCGAGCATGTCCGAAGTGGTGACGGTCGCCTGCATGATGATGCCCTCGACGATGTCGGTGCCCGATGAGTTGAGTGGCCAGGGCGGGGCTGCCTGCTTTGGCTTCTTGTTCCAGCGCTCCATCAACTGTGTGGGGCATAGGGGGTGATAAGCAGAGGTACCAGAGTTGTGGTGCAGGGAAGGGCCGCCTCGCTGACGGTGATCACCATCAACACACAAGTCGATATTTCGGGCTTCGTTAGATAAAAAGAATTTAAACCTCTGTCACACAGCAGACAGGCTCGACACAGGTGCGGACGGGTAAAAAAGATTTTAGGTGCACGGCCCCCAGTGCGCGTGGGTGAGCGGTGTGTGTGTGTGTGTGTGTGTGTGTGTGTCTGTGTGTGTGTGTGAGGGGGGGGGGTTCACGTCACTGCATCATCTGCCGGTGCCTTCCGTCCCTTGGAGCACTTGGAGTGCAGTCAGTAACCTCACATCCAGGGCCGAGGAGCTCAGAAGCGCACCCAGCGGGCCGGATGATCGGTATCGGGTTGCGGGCAAGAGAGCCCTAGCCCCGGGGGTGCGCGTTCGCAGGGCAAGGGCTGTAAAGTAAACACGGGTCTCCGAGGGTTGGCTCCGCGCTCCGGGTTTCCCCTAGCAGCAGACCGCCCCCTCTACTCGGAGCTATAATGAACACGACACGCACTCTCACACGACGTCACCGCTCAGGACCCCTTCGCACGAGGTCCTCATCCTCACTCCGGAGGAGGCTCCCCTCTCCTCTGAGTTCTTCCTCTTGTTCGCTTTCCGATGATCATCCGACGGGCGCGGGGCCCGACCTCCCCTCCTAGCTTTTTTCAGCCGCGGCCCCGCCACCGTCTCGTCTTCTCTGTCCGATTCTGTCGCCATCACCGACGGTGATTCCATGCCCGACTCCTCGGGCGAGGGCAGCGGCATTGGATCGCCACGCCGCCCCTCCCCGGGAAGTGGGGCCAGCTCTCTTCGGTCGAGGACTCGCGCCCGCCCCTGCGGTCTCTCTATCGTCCTCGGCTCGTCCGTACGTCCCGACTCTACTCGCAGAGGCCGCGTCAGGTCATCTCTCGCCTCCTCCGACAGTTGACCCCAAGCCCCCCCCGGGGCCCTCCGGCCTCGGCTTTCCGGTTCGCCGGCGGGTCCGCTCTCGTACCGCGGTAATTCCCCTCCCCCATCTCCTCCTCCCGGGTACACCAGCCTCCGGCGGGGCGGTCCCGGGTCCCCCAGGTTATTCCGAGCGGGTCCATACGGTGGCGGCCCCGTCGGCGGCGGGGGTGGAGGCGGTGGCAGGGGCGGCGGGTGCGGTGGCGGCCCTCGCGGCCCAAAGGCCTGGTGCGGAGCCGCTGGGGCGGCCCCACGACCCTGCAACCGTTCCAGTGGCGGGGGCGGAAGTGGCAGTGCGAGTGGCGGGAACGATGGCGGCACTGGCGGCCGCACCGCCTGGTGTGGACCCTCAGGGGCGGCTCCTCGACCCAGCAGTCGCTCCAGCGGCGGGGGCGGAGGTGGTGGTGGCGGGGGCGGGCCCGGTGGCGGTGCCGGCCGCCGCACCTCCCGGGGCGGGGCCTCGGGGGATGCCCCCTGCCTCTGCGGCCGTTCCAGCCGTGGTTCTACGCGTCGGCCGTCCACCCCGCTTGTGGGGGGGGGCCTAGCTCTCGCCTCCCCTCGGGAGGGGGGGGGGGCAGGGCCCGGGTTCGTCGACGGCCCCGCCTCTCCCCCCCCCCTCTCCGCATCAGGCCGTAGACTGCCCAGTAGTCGCGTCGCCTCCCCCCTCGCCTGGTCCTTCTCGATTCGATCCCGCACCGCCCGGATATCAAAGGCCGAGTTGTGTTCGAGGCCGCCCGTCGGCGCAGCAAAGGTGCTGCGCACTTCTGGGCAGCGCCCAGAATGCAGGGAAGGCCTTGGCGCTTCTCGCCAGCCAGGCTGGCTCGGCAACCGGCACGCGAGCCGACAGCGCGTCCCGAGCCCACGGATCGGCGCCATCGCACAGGCCCGCCAGCCGCCGCATAGCTCCAGAGAGGCCATTGGCGTTGTGCTGCACTGCCTGAAGGCGCTGCTGAGGCTCTGTTTCAGCTGAAGCTGCCCCGTGCGCCGCCGCGAGCACCGCGTAGTGGTCTCGCCCTCTGGAGAGCCCCAGCACGACCCCTCGCGGCCACTCGCGCCGTTGCAGGAGCTCCGACCCCGCCACTCCGGCTCCCGAGCGCGCGGCGAGCACGAGGAAGAGCATGCGCATGGGCCAAAACCCTTACAGCGAGTTCTTCCCGTCTTCTTTGTTCGAATGTTTTTCAATCCATCCTTCACGAAGCCCTCCCATGTAGCTAGCGTTCTTGGCGAATGTCTCGAAGTGGCCAGCAGGCGCTGTCTGCTCGCGGCCTGTGCGGTCGTCCTCCTCGCCCTTCTTTCGTCCTCCCGTCCCTCCCCTCCACCATGGCCTCATGGGCACTTCTTTCTCCATCCGCCTCGCCCTGCCTTTTCGTATCGTGCCGTTCGCCCTCTTCAACGCACGTGGGACAGGAGCGCGCCGCGGCGGGCGAGAGGGCGTGCCTGCGTCTCCAGAGTCTCCAGACGCGCGGTCCAGGGAGGCTAGCGCCCCCTTCATCGAGGCGCCGAGGCCGCGGGGGAGGGCGGTTCGTGAGTCGAGACTCGAGCGTAAGAAACGGTCCGCACACGCCCCAGTGTGGCGGTCGCCCCTCAGGGTGTAGAGTGGATGGGGTACCGTAGAGTTGCGACAGAGAGGGGGAACAGCAGGGACTGTGCACACAGCTCTTTACCAAGAAGGTTGTCGCAAAATAAACACACGCGTGCCGCCACGCGATGCGACACGAATTGCGAGCGCGGTCGCCCGGCCCGCCCTCTCGCTCTCGCTCTCCCTTGCCATCGATAAGCCCTGGATAGCATGGGACAGCAGACAGCGTCGCTCTACGAGCGCTTCACCTGTCGCCCGCGATCAGATCAGGTAGGTGCCCTGCCCTTCCGTCTCCTCCTCCTCCTTCTCCTCCTCCCCTTCGTCTGCCGACCCTCCTCCAAAGTGGGAAGCCTCGGCGCCGCGCGCAAGCAGAGCAACCCGAGACAGCCGGCCGCTGCGCCGCCCCGCCTAATTAAAGTAAACACGGATCTCCGAGGGTTAGCTCCGCGCTCCAGGTTTCCCCTAGCAGCAGAACGCCCCCTCTACTCGGAGCTAGTAAACACTCGCCCACACGGGGACTCGACGCCCACCCACACCCGGCGCCTCACCACTCCGGACCCCTCTTCGTGGTCTCCCAACTTTCACTCCGGGGCGTCTTCCTCCACCTCTCGGTCCTTCCTTCTGGTCGCATCCCGATAGTTGTGCGACGGGCGCGGGGCCCGACCTCCCCTCCTAGCCTTTTGAGAGCGTCGAGTCTTTTGAGAACCTTTTTCCATCGCCACTTGATTGCATCTTTGCTTCGTTTGGTGGCGGATTCGAACGGCCACTGCTCTGCCACCTTTGGCAACGAGATGCCGTCTCGAACGTGGCGCAGCAGCACGAAGGCATCCATCTCCGGACGCCACGGGACGGCGCTGTGCTTCGATCGGCCGGATGCGTGGACGGCCATGAGGCTGCGACGCAGAGCACCGGGAAGAGGTGAAATGTAGTCCTCTTGCACCACTGGGTCGGACGAGAAGGGACCGCCGATCATGGCAGCGAGAGCGTAGAGGAGCAACCTGTGCATCGCCAGCACAGAGCCAGCAAAGCCGCCTCGAATCGGTGAGGGGATCGTGGCGGCGATCGCTGGACGTGTCCCTTCGACGGCGAACTCCACCCCCTTGGGGCTTTTGGAAAAATGCTTCCCAGAAGACTTGAGTTGTAAAGAATTTAAACCCCCTCTCTCACACAGCAGACAGGCTCGACACAGGTGCGGACGGGTAAAAAAGATTTTAGGACTTAGCGCCTCCCTCCCTCCCTCCCTCCCTCCCTCCCTCCCAGTGCCGAGCGCGTCAAGTGGCCAGGCACGTGGCTCGAATTCGACTGGGGCATCACGCAGCCGCAGATCGCAACATACCGCTTGCACGAGGACGCCGTGGCGGCCCTTTCAAAGGGAGGCACTGGACTCATCGCCGAGCAGTGGCGCACCACGGTGATGGGCTCCAACATCAACGGCATGAAGGATCTGGTGTGGGCGCGTGGCTCCACTGGCAGCCCCCCGAGCAGGGACCTCCCTCCCGACGCGGGCGCATGGATGGGGCCGATGTACGAGGCGTGGGCGAGCCGGCAATTTGGGCCGACGGTTGCGGCACGGGTGGGCGAGCTCTTCAGCGGCATCGACTGGGATAGCATCCCTCAGCCGGTGGGCTGGGACGGGGACGGCTACGAGAGTCCCGGCGTCATACTTGCCAACGCGGCGTGCGGTGAGGGCAGCACGACGTGGCCGCAGCTGAACGCCAGCTATAGCTTTGTCGACGCCTTCGAGTCCCTTGAGTCCGAGGTGGTTGGCACCGGCAATCGCGCGCGCTTCAGCTACTGGCTCAAGACGATGCAGGGGCTGCGGCTGATAGGAGAGTTTGGCTGTGTGCGTGGCGTCTTCGAGGCGGCAATGAATAGCGGCTCCTTTGCGACCGCACTCGAGCAGCGAACTGCGCTGGCGCGGCTGTTCGAGCGCATTATCACCCTCCTGATCGAGCGGATCGTCAACGTGAGTGACCTCGGCGAGATCATCAACCACGAGATCGTCACGTGGAAGGGGAGGATCAGCAAGTTTGACAGCGCCCTGGCTACGGGCTTGGGATACGCGATCCCAGCCGGCGCCGCGCCCTCCCTCGACTACACTGGCGCGCCGGTGCTTGTGGTGACGACGCCACGGACGCACGCTTACGCGGGTGAGGCGACACTGATCCGGGCGCGCTAACGCGTAGCATCCTCGGCCGTGAAAGCATGTTGACACCCGTCCGTGATGCCTTTGAATAGGCCCTGCAGCTGGGCGGCACCTCCGCACCGACCCTCCATATCCGACCGCTCGGCGAGGGTGAGTACTCGGCCGTCGAGCTGACCTCCATCGCGCGCGGCGTCTACGAGTCTCACGTGGCGAGGGACGCGGACTTCGAGTACTACCTGGCCTCGCAGAGCGGCGCGGGCGATCTGCGCTGGCCCGCGACAGCGCCTCAGATTAGCCAAACGGTCGTGGTGACGCCAGGGGCAGGGTAATGGGGGCGCCTTCAGCCTGGGAGGTGGGGCTCCCCTGTGCCCTGAGGGGAAGCCAAGGCCCCGCAGTGCCGCCCGGCGCCGGCGGTGCGGGCCTGCGGGTGGGGGCGTAGGCGCGCCTGGCGGTGTGCTGTGGACATGCTTTTGGCTCTAAATAAAAACGGACACCTCTACTAGGAGATGGGTAGAAGGGAAGGTCCCCGCCCGTAGCAATAGGCCCAAAGGTTACGGTGACGACGACTGTGTCGGGCCGCGCTTCGCTCGGCTCCTCACGCAAAATGGCCCGGCGCGTGCGGGAAGGCACCGGGTGCTAGCTCGGTGCGGACTCCTCCGCACTGCTGAAGAGGGAGTAGACGTGGTGCGCCACCACGCACGCGATGGTTGTGCCGACCACGTCCACCACCACCTGGCCGCGAGTACTGCTGTCGTGAAGGGGCTGCCTGGACGCCTCGACCAGTGCAACGCTCAATGGGAGGGCCGAGGTGCGGCCGAGGTGCGGCCGAGGTGCGGCCGAGGTGCGGCCGAGGTGCGGCCGAGGTGCGGCCGAGGTGCGGCCGAGGTTTAGCCGAGGTGCAGCCGAGGTGCGGCAGAGGTGCAGCCGAGGTGCGGCCGAGGTGCGGCAGAGGTGCAGCCGAGGTGCGGCCGAGGTGCAGCCAGGACCTCGATGGTGTGTATGGGCGAGGCTTAGCCCCCACAATCGGGCGGGTGTCGGTCCTAGCCTCGGCTGTCTTGCCGTGCGCGTGCGTGCAAGCCCCGCGGCGTGGACTGTGCGGAGGCCGCTCGCGACAGCGGTGGGTGCTGCGCAGTCTATTTGACCGCCTGCACGACCGGCGGAGACCCGACGGCGGCCTGGCCGTACCGGTCGAGGAAGAGCACGACGCAGACGGCCACGACGTTGGCGAGGAAGACGATGATCGCGTACGCGGTGGAGATTGCGACCTAGTGCAGAGAGCGCGCGCGCGCGCGCGGCGTTCGTTCCCTAGTGGTTGAAGACATGTGAGGGGGGGGGTGGGAATCGGTGTCCTGCACTGATCAGCACGCTACACTCGGCTCGCGAGAACACAAAGGCCATGCCCACAGCAAATACGGCTGCAACGCCGTGCACCAGAGTCGAGTACACGTGTCGCGTCGAGTGCTACTCGTCAGCATCTAGAGACTGCGACAGCGTCGACCAGGCCGGCGTGCTTGGAGAGCAGCGAGACGCGAGGGAAAGCGCAGGCGCCCACTGTCAGGCCGAGGATCGCGCCGATCGACGCCTCGCGCGCGAGCACGCTCCCAAAGTCCGCGGGCGACACCTGACCAATGAACCGGCTCATTCATTGCACATTTCGCACCCATCCGGCCTCCCAGAGTCTGCGGTCGACTCCTCTCCAGTACGGAGGCGCTGGACGAGGTCGGCGATCGTCTGGCCCGACGCGTTCCCGCCGCCTCCGACGAGCATCGTGAGGAAGGCGGTCAGTACGATGTGGTCCGAGATGAGGCTGGAGAAGATCTCGACGATGACACCCGAGAGCGACTGCACTAGCATTAGACCGACGAGCCACGGGAGCCTGGCCCGTACGTCGACGTAGAGAGAGGTATCCAAATACTCGGTGCTCCCTCTCGAGCTCGTCCCTCTCGACGAGCTCGCGGCGGCAAAGCAGCGGCCGGCGCCGCAGCGAGGGCAGTGCGAGGCGTGTGGCGCCGGCTCCTGGGCGTCAGACCGGAGCGACTCCTTTGGCAGAAGGGACATGAAAAAGCGCTCGCGGCCAGCCGTGCCCACAACAGCGCCCTAAAAGATTTCTCTGAGCTCAAGCCCTGGCGAGGTACTTCCAGCCTGCTGTGGGAACAGCTGACGCAGTCTCGCCGAGGCTCGCCCCAGCATCTCGGGTTGACTCGGCCAGACAAAAACCCCGAGAGGCGTGGGAGTACCTCGCCAGCCCAAGCCCCTCTCACAGCAGACTGGCACGAACTAGCACCACAAAAGGCACAGCAGACAACGGCCCCTTATGGGCCGTCGAAGAGGCCGTCATACTCCTCCGGCCTCGCCCCCCCTTCCCAACCCTCCCCCGGCTCAGGCTCCTCATCCTCGCGGCGCGCAGTGCGCACCCCGCCCCGCGAAGACGAACCCTTCCGCCGGCGTGCCTCGCGGGACTGCCGCCCGCTGCCGCCGCCCTTCCCCCCCTCCGCTGCCCGCGCCGCCTTCTCCGCCGCCCGCGCGGCCGCCTTCGCCTCCTCCGCCGCTAACAGCGCCTCCCTCCGCGTGACCCCTATGGGCCCCTTGCGATCGACTCCGCTGCCTTCCCCAGCAGACTGGCACTAATTATGGTCGTTCGGGGCGGCTCGCACACACACACACACACACACAACACAACAACCTCACACACACACACACACACACACACACACACACACACACACACACACACACACACACACACACACACACACACACACACACACACACACACACACACACACACACACACACACAACACACACAAAACAAAAAACTCTCTCTCACACACACACACACACACATGCATGCATGCATGCATGCATGCACAGACAAACAGCCCCTTCCCCTTCCTTCCCCCTCAAGACCCTCAAGGGCGAGGACACACACAGGACGCACCTCTAGCGAGGCCCGCATAGTATGTGGGAGACTCCTGCCGCCGCCCCTGCCACCCCTGTGTCAGTGTGCCTGTGGTTGCGAGAGACTGCCAGTGAGAAGCTGGAGGCAGGTCGCTAGACTGAGATGAGACCGCCAGTGGAGTTGGGATTCCACCGTGCACCGCGCTGCGAGCCTGTCGTGTCCCTTGTCAGGAGCAGGAGAGCCCCACCTGTGCCCCTGATCGTCCTTCCAAAATCCTGCTCGTGCAGGTGTGGACCCTGTCCTCCTCCCCCATCCCTCGACCCTCGTTTGGGCTGGTCTGTTTTCTTTCTTTCTTTTAGGCAGGTCATGCAAAACGATGGCGACTCGCCGGCGCTCTCGGCGGGCGAGTTTGCGGCGCACGCGCTGCGCGTAGGCGGCGCGTGGGCGGGTGGCCCGCCCGGCCGATGAGCACCGGACGCGAGGGTCGGTCGGCTCCTAACAACTAGCTGTATATAGTCGCGATCTGCCGGCGTGCGTATGAGCTCACTAGCTAGAGCTCACACTAGAGGCCGTCATCGCATTCGCCTTCCTGGTACCCAGCGCTGGCTTCTGACTGTCGTTGCTGTCTCTCTCCCTTCTCGACTGTCTGTGCTTGGATGTTAGTCATTACAAGAAATAGGCTCGTGGTAGGTGCCTGCCAAGCGGCCGTGGGCTCTCGGGTAGGCTCTGGGGTGCTCTGGGGCCACTCGGGACCGCTCGGGACCGCTCGGGACCGCTCGGGACCGCTCGGGACCGCTCGGGACCGCTCGCGGGACCGCTCGGGACCGCTCGGACACTTCCGAACATTGCTACTCCGTTGTGACTGTGCATGCGTCCAGGAGTGCCAGAGACCCTTAGACACCATTGGCTTGGGAGGCGCCGCACAGTGTTTCTTGTAATGAGTAACATCCCGACACACAGACACAAACAAGCTCACAAGACACACAGCCAGCGTGGCTGCCACACACCCTGAGTTGGCGTACACATAACTCAGGGCCACATGTCTCTCCCTTCTCGACTGTCTGTGCTTGTGGATGTAGGAATCCTAATTTTCCAGTGTTGTGTGATGCGCGTAAAATCCTTTTTTGAGAGAGAGATTTTTAGCAATACCAAACAACTCTAACACTCACACGTAATTTGGGGCCTGGAGCCCTGTTCACGCGCGCGCGAGACGTGCAGACAGGGTTGCCAGGTGAGAGCGAATGGCGCGGTTCACGCCTCGCACAACAGAGAGAGAGATGCGCTCTGCATGGTGGGACATAAAAGAGAGCGAGTACTTGGGCGAGTAGGCCGTGCGGTCAACGCTGCCGCGCGCGACTTTGCGCGCGAGGCGGCGCAGCTTGAGAACGGCGGTGGGCGAGAAGCCGCCGCCGAACGTCTCGTGGAGCAGCAGGTTGAAGTTGTTGCGCTTGACAAAGATCGCGTCGTGGTAGAAACCGCGATGCGCCTTGACGTAGCCGTGGCCGGTCTTGTGGTCGAAGGGTTGGCCGGGCTGCCCGCGCGCCTTGCAGCCCATGTTTAGGCGGCGGGCCTTTTCTTCGGTGTTGCCGAAGGCGTAGGAGTGGCCAACGGAGGCGGGCGTGCCGCCACTCGAGGCGTTGCCAACGCCCGGCGAGGAGGTCTTGAGGAGGGGCGTCCAGAGCTTGATTTCATTCACCTCATCGCATCCTCCCGGTCCCGCATGGGGTTCCGCGAGGTCGACCTCGTATGTTGTTGTTTTTGTCCTTTTTTCGGACAGCGTCACGATTTTGGCGCTGGAAATATCAATATGTCGTTGCCATACCCGCCGTTGCCATATCCGCCGCCGCCGCTGCCGCCCAACCCCCCGACTCCGCCGAGTCCGCCACCCTCTTCGCCACCGTCGTCGCCGCCGCTGCCGCCTCAGCCGCCGCCGTCCCCGCGGCCCGCGCCGCCACCCGCGTCTCCGCCCGCGCCGCCCTCACCCCAACCGCTCTCACCGCCGCCACCCTCGCTGTCGCCCTCGCCACCGCCGCCCTCGCCACCGCCGCCCTCGCCCCCACCGCCCTCGCCGCCGCCACCCTCGCTGTCGCCCTCGCCACCGCCGCCCTCCCCGCCGCCGCCCTCGCCCCCACCGCCCTCGCCGCCGCCGCCCTCGCCCCCACCGCCCTCGCCGCCGCCACCCTCGCTGTCGCCCTCGCCACCGCCGCCCTCGCCACCGCCGCCCTCGCCCCCGCCGCCCTCGCCGCCGCCACCCTCGCTGTCGCCCTCGCCACCGCCCGCGCTACCGCCGTCCCCGCCAGCGCTACCGCCGTCCCCGCCTCCAAACGCCGTCCTCGTGGCGCGAGACGCATTGATGCGGCTGCCCGGGCCTCTCGCGCCGAAGCAGGAAAGCTGCGCCGCCGGCCTCCCGGCGGACGCCCCCTCGTGCTCGTGCGGCATCGTCTCACCCGAAGCGGCGCCCGTGTGCTGCGCCGCCTCTTGCGGCGAGTGCGGCTACGACTGGGGCTGCACGTCGCGCAGCGGCGGCGAGAAGCTCTGCTGCAACGACAAGATACGCGCAGAGGCCGCGCCGTGCCGCTCGCCGTTTGATGTTGGTTGCATCATCCTCACCTCGCCGCCGCTTCCGCCGCCGCCACCGTCGCCGCCGCTCGGCCCTCCCCCCACCGCACCGCCCTCATCGCCGCCGTCGCCGCCCTCCCCGCCACCCTCCCTGCCCGCCCCGAGCTTGCCGCCGCCGCTGCCGCCACCGGCACCGGCACCGCCGCCGCCGCCGCCGGCACCGCCGCCGCCGCCGCCGCCGCCGCCGTCGCCGCCGCCGCCGCCGCCGCCGCCGCCGCCGCCGCCGCTGCCGCCACCGCCGCCGCCGCTTTCGCCGCCGGCCGCGCTAGCCTACCTTGTGGGCCTCGTCCAGGGAGCAGCTCGGGACGCACCAGGGGAGGCCGGTTACGGCCTTGCGTGGCCGCTGGCCTTCGCCGCCGGCGCCCTCGCCGCCATGATCCTCCTCGCCCGGCGGTGCCCCGCCCGCCCCTCCTCGTGCTGCGGGCGGCCCCTCTCCCTCCCCTTCTCGCGCCTCTCCGACCCCGACAGCTCCAGCCCCACGGCCAAGGTCAACGGCTCCGCCAAGGGGCGGGCTCGGACACGTGACGGCGCGCTCGAGGCGGTCGGGCGTCGAGTCGGGCAGGGGCGCCCAATGGCGGGCGAGGCCGAGCCGAGGCCGGCCTCGCTCGCCCTCTCGCCTCGGAGGCTGCCCACCCCGCCCGAGCCGGTGGACCGAGTGCGGATGGTAGCTGAGGAGCTCACTGCCCTCGAGGCGAGCGCAGGCTGCCTCCCCGCACCCTCGCTGGTCGAGCGCTGCTCGCAGCTCGCCGCCGAGCTCCAGGCCGTCGACGTGGCCGCCGACAAGCGCCTCGCCCAATGGCGCGCCTTGCAGCTCCGCCGCTGCGATGGCCTCCTCGCCTACCTCTCCCCGTCGCCGCTGCCCTCGCCGCGCCTGCCCTCGTGTGGCGACTCCCCCGCAGTTTGACCCCTCGCATGCAGGGGCAGATCTCACGTCAGTCTCTGGTCCTGCCCTTGAGATCTCCAAGTCGAGATGATACCATGTCCACGTCCAAAACCGCCGTTTTTTATGAAATCCGAGCCGAAGAACCTGATTCTTTTTCCTTCGCAGCAACGCGATGGCGGCAAGGCCACTTTGCGCGCCCGCCTCGTCACGCAGAAGACCAACGGGCGTCGGACCGCGGTGAGACCGCGCCGCCCTCCGCGCCCGCCCGCGCCCGCAGCGTGAACACATACGCGCGTCCCTCGCCGCACGGAAACATACGCGCCAGCCGCGCACACAGCCTCACATGCAGCGCAGACCGCATGCCCGCGCCCTGGGCCGCCGACGACCCGGTCGGGCGGGCTGCGCGGCCGCCGCACACCACCAGGCAGGCGCACGAACACCCGCAGCGCGCCGCAGCCCACCGCGCAGCCCTGCCAGCCAAGCCTGCGCCTCCCAGCTGCACAAACAGGGCGCACAACAGAATACAGCACACAGTGCACACACCGGCAGCGCGCGCGCAGCACACGCAGACGCGCGCGCGACCGCAACACGCACACGTACACAGCACGCGCGCGTCGCACGCCAGCGCAGCGCCACACACAGAGCACACTTCCCATCAGCAGCAGCAGCCTGCCACAATCCACATCTCACACACGCGCGCACACACTCCCCCCTACCGGCGCACGCATTGGGCGTCGCCGAGAGCTCCCAAAGCTGACTTGTGTGGGTGCGTGTGAGAGAGGGGCGTGGGGGCGGG